ATGTTAGGTAGCGGAAGAAAGGGTTTTGAGAAAGAGTTTACTTGCGTTGTGCAGGCTGGTTTGCAAGTGGGCTTCAAAACAGATGCTTTTAAATTATATTGAGAATTCGGGAGAGGATCAGGTAAAGATCTCCCTCAACTATCGTCTGGCTCAATTACCTAACTGCAAGGTCAGACCTGAGTGGCCAGGCGCGGGAACGGGATGAATTCGATCTAGGTTGAGTAACTAGTTTATTATTCTGAGTGCTAGGGGTCGGTTATGGTTCTAGGATTGACTCATCTTTACTGTTACGATCAAGCTCCCTCGTAAATTTGGGAGCCGCATTTGAGCAATCCTTGCTTCTTGGGGACGTTTTAACGAGGCTAGTTTCAACTGACTCAGTGATAAATTGCTCAGTTGAAGAGCTAGATGGGACTGGGCCACTGCAGATAAGAGGGAGGTTTGGTTGAAGCCCGATGGTGAATTTTCTTAAGGCGGACAGAATGTTGTCCCCAAAGTATACTTTCTTCTTCGAATTCTGATCAGCCCGCTCGGCCGAATTATTAACATACCTAAGTTCCAATGACTGCGCTCATTTCTTCCTAAGTTCGGATATGGATGGTTGCACCGCCAAATTGAATGGAATTTTAGATCCGATTATCTCTCGCTTTGTCCCCCGCAAGAAAATAATAAATGTCTAGGATGAGGTATTCCTACCCCTACCCTTTCGCCATAGGTTCCGCAGACTTTCCTGTCGACTCACTCGACTGCTCCGCTTTCGATCCTCCGCGTTTGGACTGGGGTTGTTCTCAAAACTATAACTTTCACCGTGTAGGGCGCGACTGTAACAATTCGGTGTTTTTGTCGATCTCATATCCCATGGGCATGACGTTCTCCAATCTATGGACAGGGATCTTGCGTTTTGCACCGCCTACTTCGATTTCGCTTATGATTTTGATCCTGTGGACTATGCTCTTCTTCTGTTGAAACGTTCCTCTTTCATAATAGGCGGTAAACCTCTGCAGTTGTCATTCTTTTGCCTGGGCACTCTAACACAACAGATTAAAATTTCCAATGTTATCGCCAATCCCGTATGTGTGACGACTGGAGTCATTCAGGGCAATGTATTTGGCCCACTTTTATTTAGCCTTTTTGTAAACGATGTGCAAGGTTTATTTCAGAATGGTAAGCCCTTCGCGTATGCCGATGATCTGAAATTTGCGTGAAGATACAAGTTGGCAGATCGGGCCATGGTGCTTGAACTGCTCAAGAGCTACACATGCCCTCTTTTGCTTTCGTGACACAAATACTCAATTATGGGAGTTGGTGATGACCACCAAGGCCAGCGATACAAACGAGCCTGAAGTTACTGGGGATCTGGGTGTGTCATACTCCAAGAGTCATAATCTTTCGGAGCGCTGCACTCTAATAGTCTCCAAATGCACGCAGAACGACCAGGTTTATCCTCCGAAATTTTATAACTAGTTATATTAGAATGCATCTTTATAAAATGTACATCAGAACCGCCCTGGAATACTTTTCGGACTTATTTGGCCTTACTCAAGCTGCTGAGCAGAAGTTAATAGGATCTGTCCAACATTTTTTGCCCAGGGAGTTTTAGCCTTGGACCGTCAATACTCGAACTACTAGAAAGATTGCGGGCTTATAGGCCTTGACCGTTTTTTGTTTTTTCGATTACAAAAGGGACTGTTTTTACGGTTCAGGTTGTTAAGCAGTAGTACGTTTGACCCACTTGCTTCTTTCAAACATCATTACCACCCCCGGTGTAATCGTCATCGTGTGATTTTTTATTTCTTCCTCTAGCACGTTACGTTAAGCACCGTCGTTTTTTCTGTGAACAGAATTGCGCTTTGGAACAAATTACGCGGGAATGCAAAAATCAGCAGAATTATTCTTTGTTTAAGAGAAACTTAACTCGTTTTTTATTTTCAGGGAAAATCCCACAGATTTTTATGCTGAATCCACCGATTTAAGCCACCGTAGTGATGGAGTTCGTGGTCACTGATCCCTCCGGCCTGTCTCGCCACGGACAGTTTCTTCAGACGCCAGCGAGCAACAGTCCTTCGATGCATTTGTGCGGTTCATCACCAGTTTCATGAGAAGGGATGGAGACTGAAAATATCTGAAGCAGTGCTACTCATCCCTTACCGGACTACGGTCAGTTCATGGGCAACAGGTTTTTCTCCTGAACCATCAAAACAACACAAAAACACCATCCTCTGTATTTATTGATCAGGAAGTTTTTTTCGCTACTAACACGATCCATGCTTTATTTTTCTATGACGGTCCCTGTGACATCCCTGATGTCAATTTCTATCCTTGTCTTTCCTTTTGCTACTAACCTTTTGTTAGTAAACAGACTTTACTCATACCACCCTGTCTTTGCCTCAGTATCCCTATTCATCGGTTTTCGTCATTCTTTGTTCATTGTTCTTTGTCCATTGTCTGTTGCTTTTTGCTGCCGCTCGCTTATTAACCGACCACCACACTTTTGTGTCACTTGCTGACTGCTCATCTTATCACCTCGAATGTACGTCCATTTTTCATTTTATTCCCCGCCTTATTAACTCTACTGTGCTCCTCTAATCCTACTGTTTATTGCTATAGAACCATAAAGAATAACCGAGTTATTCTGACTGCCTTCTGACATAACTCTGACCACCGGTGCGCCTATTCCGGCGAATAAACCAGCACTGAATCGAGAAAAATCTAAGGAATACCAACAGTGTCTCTAAACTGGCATTAAACACACTTTAGTATCATTAAATTGTGGCGAAAGTATTGCGTCACTGGGCAAGCTGAATATTTCAACACCTGCGAAACACAAAGAAGTAGACTGAGAAGCGTGGTCATTATCAAGCTCCAGGAAATCGAGAAGAAATCGTTACGAATAACAACGCCGAAATAATGGCGTTGAACGTGCTGTAAGCAGGGATAAAGTTGCGTATTTTTCACATTTTTTCTAATTCACAGAAGGAATACCGACTATAAACATTAAAAATATACTCTTTTCAGAATATCGCATGTAAAAATAATTAGATGCATTAAACGAATTAAAATCTACATGACAAAAGAGATACCACCCAAGCTCCTCAACGGACTTGCCGGTGACCTTCCTATGCCTCTGTAGATGGTCTGTCAAAAGTCGTTTGCTTTCCAGGAGGTGTCCGACACTGTGTCACACCACAGACAGTTATACATGCTAGAATAAACAGGAATCAGACATAACTTCCTCAAATATACAGAAGAATTACTTGCAGATGGGCACCAGGTTGTTGGAATCGGACAAGAGTAATCGGGTTCTCCGCGATCAAGAGCAATGTCACCCAGAGACCAGTAGTAGGACTCATTTTGTTCGTAATATGCATGGAAGGTTGCACAGGAGATTTAGAACGCAAAGAAGCAGTGTGTTCTGGAGACATTAAAGGATGGTGAGTAATCCGGGACCTCACCGATGAAGGTAGACAGCCGATGAAACTAAATCGGTTGGAGAACTGTTCAAATCATCGGCTCACGAGGTTCAACGTCGGTAGGTGCATTATACTTCGCCTGGACAACACAGCCAAGTCTGAGAGCAGTTTGACGAAACGTAGAGGCTGAAAAAGACCTCGGCTTACTAATGACGAACTCCCTAAAACCATTCGCGCATTGTTTAAGGGTGCGAAAAGCGCAACATCTGTGTTGCACGCCATGATGCGAGCATTTATGAATTTTGATGAAGGCTTCTTCTGCAAGGTCTTCAAAACATTTGTGCGGCCGCACTTGAGGTACGGCATACAAACCAGGAGATCATAGGGAGATCAGGACCAAAATAGTCTTGAGTGAGTCCTCGGGAGAAGCACGAAAATGGTTAGGGGTGAAAGCTCCTTTCCTTATGCAACGCGCCTGGCAAATGGGTACCTCATTTCTTTAGGTTATAGGCAAGTGCACGTGGATCTCTTACACAAATTTTGCATTATGAAAGGATTAGAATGTAGCTTGGATTTTTGGACATTTTTGAATTAGCTCCCACGGCCAACCTACGAGGTCACAAATTAAATTTACGCACGCAGCAGGCAAGGCTGAATGTGTGGAAGTTCACCTTCTCTGTCAGATGTATCGAACCATTTTGTGATGTCAACATCCATACGAAGCTCTAAAAGGAAACTTGATATACATAGTTTGCGAAATATACAAGATTGTTGAGGGTTCGAGTTCTGCCCTTCTGGCTCACATTCAATTTGCAATAGTATTATGGTTCCACTCAAATTATTTAAGTTCTCATTTTTTCCCCGTACGCCGCACCCAATTTCATGTCGCAAATATGCCAACGACTCTTTCCACCAATAAACTGAACTGGACGCGCGTTGGACATATGACGACAGCTGGTACGGACATCACATACAGATGCGTCACCATCGCTGCGTCTGTCGTTAGAGGTGGGGATAATCTTCCTTCATTGCTTAACTGCACTGTATTTTCTCATTGCCCGGCGTCGCTATTTCCTGACTGACGGAAGTTTAAAATGGTATTGATGGCCTGGAAGGATGTCGAACACGTTTTTCTCACATTCTACCGACGTGATTTATATGTGGTATGGGGTGTAAAACACATTACTTGTGACACGTTCTCCGGTGTTTCAGTCTGTTTAAGACGAATCGTACGACAAAAATAGTGACTCGTGATCCTTGAGTGCGGCGAATCTTCTGGCCACAAGTAGGTAATGGTGACTCTTTTTGGCAGAATAAAGGGCCACGAATTTGTCGCCGAATAGGCCGTTTTACAAATAATTTGCGAAAAAATAAACTAAAATATTTGAGCTAAAGGCTATTTATTGAGTAACTCATCAATGTCAGCAAATTCTGCAGCACGATTTTATAGAATGGCTTTTGGCGCCGTCCTTAAATGTGTGGTTCGCCTAACGATTTCTCAACTCCTACTTGGTCATGACTACCGCAGGACGTCCTACATGGAACACAGCCAAGGGTGGGCGTGGAAAATGGGAGGGAGACCTCACCGCTATGTCCAAGCAGTACTCTGTCAGAGATCTTCCGTCGCACACCAAACTTAAGTACAGACAAGAGGGCCAGGGACGCCCAGAGGATCTTCAGGGGAAGGACTTTAAACGCGACCTTGAGGAAAAAGAACGACTCGCGGCTCTAGAAAAATCGAAAAAAGGTTAACTAACAATTTTTTTATATGATGTTAGGTAACCCCTTCTGTTGTTGCATCATCCTTTCCCACTTTATTTAGAGAAGTTCTTGTGTTGTGTGTAGAATTGTCTCATAGTTTGTCTGGTTCATTTTCGGTATCGCTATATAATTTCGGCGGATTGACTTTTATGGGGTTCAGGTGTTCCCTGTAGGATGATAACAGCTCGCAGCGCTTCCAACACTGTACAATATACGCGTATTGAAAGGCCTAGGTTGAGATATGGTGAAGGTATTTTGACAGAATACAACCTTTGAGTAAGGTTTTGCACCACATAGGCTGTTATTTTGGGATTATGTTGGGCAGTAGTACATCGACAATTTTCGTTTCCACATCATCATTTGGTTAATGGGGTCTGCTGGCTCTCGTCTGCCCAATTTTCGATGTCTGACGTGTCTGTATTTACTTTTTTGAAGAAAAGGGTGTTTATTTACTGGTTGCCGATTTCTTTAGCCTAGTATTGACTGGCCGCGCGGGCTTCCCCCGTTTCCCCTTTTTATTTCAACGTTCGTTTCTTATGTCCGAAAAAATGCAATAGTCCACACGTATGTGCTTTCTTACTATCACTGTAGGCACCATCAACGGCCCACGTGAAAGTTGGTTATATCTGTTTAGGCGCATAAACCATGTCATCACGTGTGACTGTCAGTGGTACCGAATCAAGAGTGCCTGGCTCATTCCCTCCGAAATAGAGTAGACGGGATGTTGAGAGTCCAAGAATTACATCCATATTTTGACAGTGCATTGTGCCAGGTTCTGAGCCAACCTCTTCGCAACATCCAAATAGGCGATTGCGCAAGCGTAAACGCGACAACTTCAAACTCATAGCGTGGGGGCGAAAAACGTTCCCAAATCACCCTGGGGCATCCTATCGATGTCGTCACAGGGAGTGAGTTGTCTCTTACATACGAAAGTCGGTGTGCGCTACAATTTAGATCAAGCGTACCCCAGTTCATGTTGATCTGATGCAGCACTGCATGCCTGTGGAGAAGCCTAGTTACCCCACTCTGTTCCCGGCGCGTATCTAAGCTTGTGCACTATAAGCAGGCAGACCACCACTGCTGGTCTCCAATCACTCATCACCCATTCTCTGATGGGGGGGATCTCGGACCTTAAGCCAGCGGGAATGGCACAAAGACCACATTAAGAAGTCATGGAATTTTGCCTCTCCGTTCTAAGTGAGACAGGGTTGTTCTGTAACTTGACAGCCTTTAAGTCGCAACTCTTTGCAAGCTTTGCTAGTTTAAAAACCCTGTTGTGGTTAGTAGTGAGAGAACTAAGCCTTAGTTACCAGCTGCAACTATCATATTGTCCTCACTTCCGTTCCGGTGAGGAGTGTGAATCAAGTCGGACGGTATAAGGCTCAGTGGCTAACGCGGTGCGAATCTTCTGTCTAACGCGTACAGCCCGCAAACATGTAAACATGCGATGCGTCACTCGCGAGTACTCACGTTGGCAAACGTAGTTGCCTTTTGGTGGCCTTGCAGGTTTCCAACTTTGACGGATGCAAGTAAAAACATGTGGCCACTTAAACCAGGCGGATTGGGTATCTTCAGCAGTGATAGTGACTGGTTGTGTCAGGAATGGTATGGCTCTGTTTGCATGGCAACGAAAACAAAGGTGTACAACAAGACCAGTAGGGGCCTTGGGCATGAGTTGACAGTGGAGACATGTTGAGGTGGTCTGGGCGTTGACCATATTAACCCAAAGACATCTGTATTCCATGACCAATCAATAAATTGTAACTTGTCAACGCGTAATGAAGGACTTGGTTAGTAAAGCAATCGAACAGTGATAACGGAAAGCTGTTCTACGCCATTCCTTTGTACATTGATTGGCTCAGCGAGATCGAGTTTTAACCGGGTCCATCATTTTTGGGGACGTGCCATCATGCCACAGGATTAAGTGCACAAAGTTTGTATAGGCGGAGTGAAGTTCAGGGGCTGGTGATAACAGGGGCTGCATTTAGAAGGGGGGAATTCTGGCCCGTTAACAGAAGCCCATTAATGACTTCGGAATTCTGTACGGTTCTAGAATGCACCGGACGTGATTTCGTGACTCTGGCACCTAAAGCGGAAATCTAACTGGTCCTGATACTGAGAGTTGGTCAAGTGCTTCCGTTGCAATTTATTTATGGCGACGCCAATACGTCAGTATCGGTGGGTTAAACAAAATCATTATGCAGGAAGTGACAAGGCACTTTTAGGGACATACGTTGGATCGAGCCAGTTTTTGGACTACAGTTAAATCTGATGGAATGATGAGGTAAAATTCTGTGGCGGTGACGCGATCCCCTAGGCTATTCATGACAAATTAAAACGGTCTCTCACATGGGGGCGAAGTAAGCATATTTCGCCCGGAAGCCCCCCGGGATAGCGGGGCTGGGAAACCTCCGGGCTCGTTTTCTTGAACGCATAATCTAGTCCGCGAGAGTATGGAAGAAGACTTTTTGACAAGCTTCGTAGTGTACGCATTTCTTCGCGGCGCCTGAGTTGTTGTACTTGGTCGAGGGACACCTTGGAAGCCTGACAAAAAACCCGCTTGCGATATCGACTAGGGAACAATATAAATCACCCTCTCCGTCTGACGGCAGCCTGTTGTCTAGATATTCGAAACTGCCTATTCACCCAATTAGAGAGTTATTTATAATGAAATCCACATCCTGATCGGGAGTTCACATCAAGGGTGCATCATTTTTTGCTGCGTGGGAAAAGACAGACTTGCCCTATGACTATTGTTGCCGGTTTCATTCATTCCTTCGATCTTCCTAGATCGGCTGTGGTAGTTCATTACCATTAGATTAGATGAGATCATTTGGTCGGCATCGAAAAAGTAGTTTGACAGCGCTAAAATTATGCAGGACCTTTGGAGTATCTGGCCGGTTACACAGTTGAATGGGAGTGAATATGAATGAGTTTCTTGACAGGATCTCTGAGCGCCCCTTCATCATTGTATATTCTCGATCGCAACCGACAGGACAACGAGCCCGTGGCTCAGTGGTTGGAGGCATTGGGCTCCTAACTAACAGGTTGCGAGTTCGAGCCCCAGGTGTTCCACACCTCGGGGTTGGGTATGACAGGGTGACAACGGCTAATAAGCCAGCAATGGCCATTCCAGCCTCCCTTTGTCAGTAATGTTATTCTGCCTATATTACGCACCGCTGTGCGACTGCCAGCTGGACTTGAGAGAGAGCCCTAAGGCACAACGGGACGAGTGAGTTCCGGAACATAATCAGTGAGCGCCCCCTCTACCGCAGTTGGAAGGGATGGGTGACAGATTGCATCCATTTCGAAAGTCCAACTGAATTTCGAGTGATTTTAAGCGCTTACCGGCCATTATCCAATGCATTTACGTTTGACGGATAGTAGCACTACCTGTAGGCCGCCACAGATCAACGACTGTAACATCAACCACCTGTTACGTTGTCAGGAAACCCAATGACGGCACTGCGACATGACCACCATTGACGATAGTTAAGAAACTTATGTAGCCATTGTGATCATGCAATTAGATTCCGAAAGGCTAAAGTGCTAGAGACAACTCCAACCAAGGAAAGCAGGCAACCACCGTGAACTTGTCTGCCATTTAAAGCATTGATTTTCACTCGTACATGCTCCAAGTAGGTCGAACATAAGTATGCTGATGCAGGCCATGGTTATTAGTCACAGCTGACCAAGCAGTTCCTCGTGTTAACTCTAGTGCTTCTTGCCCCTATGAATGCCTGTTGGTCTGTTCATCCTCAACCTGTATCCTATATGTTAGCGACTTCTGATGCGGCAACTGTCAATACAGCTTATGGCACACATCTAAGTCCTTACTTGTCTATCTCCCTCTTTATAGGTGGCCTCCACTCACAAGCTGCCCTAGCCACATCGGGAGAGAAACGTGCGATCGCCGATTCGGCTTCTCGTTCTTCTGCCGCTGACGGCGCCTCTACTTCCAAACGGCCTCGCCCCGAGCTGTCGGCTGCAGCCATTGCATCCGTCTCAACGGCCAATTTGGATGCTGATGACCCTTGGGAGGAGGACTACACAGAGGACGCCACTGACAGCAAAGCAGTGGACCTTGATAAGGATGAAGATGACAGAGAGGATGAAGATGATGAAGACGAAGATGAGGACGAGGAGGCCCTGTTGGCGGAGTTGGCCAAAATTAAACGTGAAAGAGCGGAGGAGGCAGCGCGCCTAGCTGCGGAGAGGAAGGCTATGGAGGAGACTATTCGAATGGAAAATATCCTTAAAGGCAATCCTCTTCTGAACGTGGCAAAAACGCCCGCAGGTTAACACCCCGATTATGCTTTTGTACTGAGTCATATCAGACTACGTACCGCCTATTTTTGAATACCACTGCATGCGCGGTTTGTGGGTACGGCCATCTTCACTTTCAGAGAACATCTGCGCATCTTGAATGTTGAACGAGGTATTCGTCGACGTATCCTGACAATAAGATTTGTGTTTTGCCTTGACATTCCGGGCTTATAGTCCTTACCGACGGTCCTATAACGATTAGCAATCATTGTTATAGAGGATATCAACAAAATTGGAAACACTTGAATGGCCTTTTCTCGTTTTTTCGTCGTCATTAGGAAGTGTTATCCTTACCACGGGCGCTAACGCACCGGACGTTGGAGTCCAGGTCTGCTTAGTCATTGAAAGAATTTGAGTTACTGGGTTTGCACTCACTCCGTCCTGCCATCGGGATAGACCTGTGGACTACACTCACATAAATTTGCACATTTCAGGTCCGGTATGCTGCAAAATGGCCAGCTCCTGAGGGGGGGGGGGGCTGGAGAAACAGATGCCAACTGTTCCTGAGCGCAGTCCGCCTGCATACCAGGCTGTAGAGGGCCACCTATAGCATTAAGTTGCCAATAAATAACTGGACTAAATTAACTCGATAGAACGGTGACAGGCGTGTGAAAGTTTTCGTGCTTCGATGAGTAACTGGAGTCCGAATTCTTAACGTCAGCTAGGTTTTTTAGCTTTCCTGGATAGCTTGAAGCCGATCCAGCCACGATCAAAGATCCCGGGTTCGAATCTCAAGTGATTCACCCTTGGGGTTGGGTATGGCTGGCTGATGACGGCTAATAAGCCAGAAAGGGCCATATATATATAATGGCCTTCAAGTGAGTCGCTGCTCGTCACTGACTCATCCTGGAAACATGTCTTGGCATGTCCGATCAATCATATCCGTTAGTAAAGATTCATCAGCAATGTTTGAGGACATTCTGGCATTCGCCTCTAGATTAACCTCCTCGTCCGACGGTTACGAAGCGCATCCCATACCGTCCTAAGGCAAGATGAGTACCTTCAGAGTCGACCTCCTGAATCGCCAGGGATAGAGCTTGTTCAGCTCATCTGATTTTATTAACCGACCTACGCCCTTTAATTCATGTAGATATTGACTCCATGACTTGGCAGATGCTTTCTTTATGATCACCTTTCAGGCTCTTCGGGAATATCACCGACCCAGCATTATTGTTAGCTCCGAGCCTTGCTGTTTGTCTTGATACTCGATCTGTCACCACGCGTGTCGTGGGAGACCGGACCTATAGCAGAGCGAAGGAACTTGGGTGACTGTTTCAAGAGAGTAACAATAATAGCTCGCTGATGAAATAACGGGCTCTTGGCTACGCACATTTGCTTCCCGGTTGTGCGTCCTTGTCGATTTCCTCCAGCCAGTTGATCATGATCACCGTCTGGCTACCTGTGTTTGTTAAAACGCCTACTGCGCATAAGCAAGTAGCAAGTTTTATGTTCTAAACTGTTTCCCGTATTTTCTATTTACAGAATTCAAGGTAAAGCGGCGCTGGGACGACGACGTGGTTTTCAAAAATTGCGCCCGCGGTGAGGTGGATCACACGAAACGTGGATTTGTTAACGACACCTTGCGCTCGGAATTTCACAAAAAGTTTATGCGGAAGTACATTCAGTAGTCGGTTTCTCGCCTCCTCTGCACATCACCGTCCCTCCCCTTCTCCTTCATTTGTACATTTGGCCCAATCACATAAACTTAATAAGCTGTTTCACCTTTCCATTTTTCTCTTTCCCACCCCATCAGTTCCCTCTTCTATCAATGAGCCGGAGTGAAGCAACCTTGTTAGATTACCAACGGTAGAAGACGGGGGCAAAAACCTCCATGAACTATCTTCGTATAGAGGTTCTAATTACTTTATTTGGGCAATTTGATATACAGTAGCGGTACTCACTGGGATCCATCGCGGTTACCAGCACCTTCTTCCTCCCCTGTCTGGTTGACGTCCAGTCGGCCGGGTTGATCCCTCCCACTTTTGCGGACATTTTATACAACGCTTCTGATGTGCCTAATGGTTCACCACCGATCTCGTACTAGTCACCGACATGGCTGTTAGAAAACATCCTTTGTTCTTTCCTAGTGCTGCTAGCTGCCAATTCAGTTGGTTGATTCAAGCTTTAGACCGTTAGCCCTATTGCCGACGACGCCAGGAAAAACTGCATCGCCCTTGGGGAACATTACAGTCCGATGCGCTTGCTCCGTCCCCCCCATTTCCTTCCCAAGCCAGTGAATGGCGCCTAGACCGCCGTTGTGAGCCCAGACATTTCGGGCTTCGTGTTATACACCTGCTAGATCGGATTTCACAGTTTTCTGTCTATTTTCTGCTGACAGACAACAAAATTGGACAAGGGGCTTCTTTGTCCTCTAGCTTTCTGCCAATCACCCATCAGATCGCAGGCAAGCGTTCGTTGTCTTTTCTCCAATTTTGCAGACATCCGCTCCTCTTCTGTTTCCTACCAGTTCTCAGGTTAGCAGCGTCATGCCCCAAATGATGAGGCATGCGGGTACGCCCTATCTTACCGTTTGCAGTGCATCTCGGTTTTATACTAGTTACGCATTTGGCCACGCAAAGGCGTTCGCGCGGGCACCCTCTATCAATGACTGCGCTTGCCTACCTAAATCAAATAAGTAGACATTCTGTGGAAATATAGTTATTGGCAATACTTATTTCCTGTCCAACCGAGACTGGGACTGGATTCTTTGTTACGTGCAAGTTGTCATCTGGTGAAACATCGCGAGTTTTTTCAGAAGACGAGTGCGCCACTTAAACGCTCCTGGCATTTGCTCTCCCGCCACCGATTATGATTTCAGGATGCAATACGGGCTCTCCGTTCTACCTGGGAGCTACGATCCAGGGCCACTGATACCTGTCATACGTTGGGGGAAATTCACCAACCTAGAAGTGTTGTTGAAAAAGACGGGCGGTCGAAATGGTCATTTCAGGACTTTTGTCGTTGTCGGCCACTCATGACCCAGGACTAGTTAGCCCAAGTTCCGAAGACGGGTTGGAACCCCGGGTCTCGGAATGTTGATCTACGATGAGCTGATAATGACAGTTGCCAGAAATGGCCGTTTCAGTCTGCGTTGTGATTTTCAGAATGCTTTCAGGATGGGTTACTATTTGTAAACCATCATGCAATTCGGTCATCTGGCTTTTGGACTCCACACATCTAGGGTTTTCTTAGGTTTTTCGAGGATGGAGCGTAATCTATCCGGAAGAACGACACCGCTAGTGTTGCTATTGGATTAGTTTTTACTGAGGATGCCACAACAGTCCCCCGGGGTCAGAGTGTACAAAAGTCGGGGCATTGAATCTTCTATTTCTCACTTTCTCCCAGGGTGTTCACTCGCACTCCTCAGTTTCACAATGACGGCCCCAGCTCGTCACGTGTCGTAGTTTAGCGCCGGTCCTCCAAGCATATTCGGCACTTTTAGCCACAGAACTTTTATGGCAGAAAGCGAAAAGACATGGACTTTCTCTTCCCCAATGACTTGTAACCGTGGGTCTGTAGATTTCCTCTAGCCACTACCAGGCCTACAGTCCGACTAAAAATGCTTTAAACACGCCTACTGTTAGAAAATAAGTAGCACGTTTTCGGTTCTTAATATGTAGTCGCATTCTACAGCCCACTCTCGAGGATGCCCACTAATTTTATTGGCTGCACGGACACGCAAAGAAGCACTTAAGTTGAAGATACGTCTGTATTGCGGTCGGGGCTTCATGTTTTATTTGCACAAACAATTTACTACAAATAGAGGTTGGAGATTCCTCCAGCCTGATTTACTCCAAGTTAGGCATCAGTGAGGAAATCAAAAAGCTGCGGTTGGAAGTATAGCTTATGAATTCCAGCAGAGATGGGAGAAATAACATGTGCGACTTTCTGTCCAGTCCACTGCTGCCTTGCAGCTTTGTGATCGCATTTGCTGACAAAGCTGGAGGAACGTGTTGGCCGCACCTCAGTTGACAGAGGCAGTGGCGTGATTTTTAGCATATTTTTTCCTGCTCGGAAGCCCGGTTTTATAGGAAGCGGGCGTGTTCATGTGCGCACACTAAAACAACACTGGGGAGATCCCGCTCACATGGCCTCGTTCTAGCACCGCATTCCTACTCCTGTCCGCCTTCTCGGACACTGGACCCACCATAGAGGCGGGGAGGGGCGCCTGGGGGACGCAGTGGGCTACCGCCAGCATGGTGCCAGCTTATCTCCCCACTGATCGCGCATTCCAATCAGGTATCGTTTTGGACGGACACCTGTAAATCCGTCACAGCAGGACTGCAGCAATCCTAAATGACACTCGTCGCCCTCACCTTTTTAATTCACGTTCAACCACTCCATGCGGCTATTCGATCTTGTGCGCATACATGAGATCTATCGTTCAGACATCACCTGCCCCCCCTCCGCCCATAGCTCATAAAATAATGGTGCAGTGAAGCTGACCAAGGTCAGCGATGATGGGTGACGCATAATATATGGGGACGATTCTGGTTGGACGAAATTGAAGAAAATCTGAGACCGGACGGGCGCCTTCGCTTCAAGAATCCTAGGATGCACGCGTCGTCAGTATCTGGTTCAGTAATAACAACGAAAGTCGATGTCTGCATCCCGAAAAAGACAGCCTACGTAGAACTCATTCTAATAGCGGCATGATCGACAGTAATTCTCCCGATTAGGAAGCTTTTTAGCAGGAGAAGCCAAGGAAGATTTAAAGTGCATGATTATATCGCGGAACCAACGAAATCAAGGATGTCCAGACTACGGTAGTCAAATCAATCTACGGGCCCCTAAGCCAAAGGGCAACGTCAAGACGAAGCAACCCTGATGTCAGTAAAGTAGCAGATCCTGGTCTACTTTGCAGACCACTTCAGGGGCGTCCTCAATCATCCCGTTCAGAGTCTGAGGGAACCACCACCACCACCACCACCGCCGCCACCACCACCACCTGGTAATCCCAGATAACTTTCACAAATACGACGGCTCCCAACTCATGGACAAGTTTATTCCTCGTGAAAACCGCGTGTTACCCAATTGCCTGAAACACTGTGTGGAACAAGGAGTCCCTTGTCAGCCTCAATGGAAGTCGCGTCATGTCAATGGACACATTCGAAGGGGCATAGGAAGTGACGACCAAATTCGGATATCCAGCGTCAGCCAGGTCCCCGGTAGCCTGCAGAAAAGGCCTTGGAAAGGACGGCCTCTGCGGCACGTCCCCTCAGATGGGATCCGACCTGCCCACTTGTTGTTCGCGCGCGTAACCCCGGCCAGTCGTGCAGACTGGGCGCGCGTGTAGCACACGTAGACGCATTGCTTAGCTCTGTCAGAAAATGCGCTCGATCGGGCCTCCCATCTTCCCAACTCAGTCGTGACAGCAGGCTAAGGCGAGCGAGGGAAAAGAGAGTGCGGCAAAGGCTGCGCAACTTTGTCAGCCCTATAAACCAATCCACGCGACTTCCACTGTCCTTGTGCCCACCCAGCTGTGGGACATGGGGGTCGGTAACGGCGGTCGAACTGCCGTGTTGTAGCAGATTACGTCTACTTGGTATTTTCAACTCGAAGAAGAGGTGCCATTCAATTTTTCAAAAGGATTCCACGTTCGAATTTCTTCAATCTGACCTGTCATTTGGGATTTACGTACTGCAGGCCTATGTTTTCTATTCCAAGAAAATCACACATGCACACTTCACCATACGGTTAAGAAGGTACTAACATGGCTAACAGTGTAGTACAGGGGGTGTAGGCCATGTTACATAATTCTTAAGGCCACTTACTAAACGGAGAGGTACAACGCTGTTTGAATAGACATTTCAAACGGAAAATAAAGCTCTTGTTCAAACGATCGTATCTGCTTCTTATCAACTTGTTCCTGGATCTTGTATCCTCGCTTGTATCGTTAATTGCAATTTTTCTTTAAACCGATAGGTACGGTTTCTTAAAGTAGAAGAGGTCATATACTACAAAACGAATGCAAGGAAGGATATTTTGGTGCATGCTTTCTTTGCAACATGTTTGAATTTATGAGGGTATTGAAGGCTGACAGAGTATGCCCAAATCACTTTGGTCGGGCTTTTTAGACTCCGATATAAATTTTGTTTTCTAATCTGGCCTAACAAGATGGATGACAAAAAATCCGAAGGCATTCATGTTCGTGATCGTATTCTTATGAATTTTGCAAGAGAAACGATGAAAAAACAGCCACAAACATTTCGTGGTGTTAATCTGGAAGCTTTAGATGTCCGAAAGTGCCAGCTTTAGTTCGTGAAATTCGGATTGGACGATCTCGACCTCTCCGATATCCATTGTCCGGGAAGACCAGGGAGCTGGATAATAACCTTTTGCATGCAACATTTGAGGCAAATCCTCGGCAGACCACTGAGGACTTATTAGAAAAACTAAATTCGTCATGGCTAGCAGTTCACGAGCGCCTTCGACAAGTAGGTGAGGTCGGTGTCCAAGGCGTTTTGGTCCGACGCTAGCTTTCGATAGAAAACAAAGCACACGGTTCCACAAGTTGCAACTCTTTGCTAGGCAGACGGGAGAGGCACACAGACAGTAAGTGGACTAATTCATGAAATCTCAACAGAAATTCCGAAAATATTAATTAAGTAGGGTTGTAAAACTAATC